TCGGCCCTGTCGAGCTACGACAACAGCAATGAGGTCGATTCCAAGATCATCACGGCACTGCTGGACTTCTCGACCTCCGCAGAGGTCACGCAAGAGATCGCCGATGCGCTGAGCAACGTGGACTTCTCGAGTTACTACACCTCGGCCCAGACCGACTCGCTCTGCTACTCCCGCACGGAGCTGGACTCTCTACTCACGGCCACGCTCACGCAGTACTGGACGTCGGGGAGGACGCAGTCGGAGATCGACGACGCCCTCGCGGGCTCCGGCTTCCTGGACCAGGCGGCCGGCGACGCCCGGTACCTCGTGCGCCCGCCCGGCGGCGCCAGCGGCTCCATCCATCAGATTGTGCAGAATCAGTTCTTCCCTCCCGTCATCAAGAACCTGCTGCTCCGGCTCCAGCCGCCGCTGGCCGGAACCAGCATCCTCGGCAACGGCAGCCCTCCAAAGCACTTGCGACTGCTACTCGAAGAGCGAAAGCGACTCGCGGTACGTCACCACCTCCGACCTGGGCCCTCTAGACGCCTGGTACTTCCATTCTGGGCAACGGCTGGATCCTGCAAATCAGCTGCGACTGCTGGTCGAAGGGCCAATCGGACGGAAGTATCCGTTGATTGCGAACTTTAACTCTGGGCCAGCGTGTCACGGACCTAGAGAACGCCTCCGGAGTGCCTGAGTGGATTCCATCGCAGACCTGACGGTCAACAGCCTGCCGCGGACCTGCAGATCTGGACCAACTCCAATCGCAGGTTCCGTGAAAGCTAAAACCCTAGAGTTAGAGTTGTGGTTAAACTCCAATCCAACTTCGAACCTCGGAGTTGGAGTCACCTCCAATCTCAATTCCGAGTTCCAAAGTTGGAGCCAACTCCAACTCCACCATCTGCGCCGCAGATAGGCCGGTCTCGACCCCAAAACTCGTTTGCCAGAACTAGAACTTGTACTTCATTCCGAAAAGACCACCCAATTGCGCTGAAATCTTTTCGTTGCACAACAAGAAAAAGCCACATGAAATCGCTTCAGGGAGTTTCAAAATGATGAAAATAAATTAAATGCAGCAAAAACACTTTACTTCGCTACAAGAAGCAGAAACCACGCGCAACGGATAACAACACAACAAACAAAAGCCACTTGCAAGCGCTTCAAGGGGCGTTCAAAGCCATGAAACAAAACAAGCAAGTGAACACCTTAAACACAAGAATAACGCGAAAGCCACGAATAATCGCTTCTTTCTAGGACCTTGAAGCTCTTTTTGAGAAGTTTGAGATCTTCCTTCGGAGAAGCAGGGTTCGAGAAGACGGTGGCTTGAGGGGGTGGAGGCTGAAGGTTGAAAGGTTCAAGGGAGCTTGAAGGGAGCTTGAAAAGGGGGACTTGAAAAGAGGCTTGAAGCTCCCTTCGAGATCCCTCTTCCTCTTTGAGAAAAAGTCCAGAATTCGAAGGGGCTTTAAGCCTCCTTGCAAGCCCCATTGAAGAAGTTAAATTGAATTGAATCAAGCCTTCCTCCAAAAATTCAGAAGCTTTTCTATTTGACACAAACCTGGAACCGCATGTTATTCTTGCTCGTAGAGAAGGTGTTTGACCTTGTATTTCTCCCTTAAGTCCCTCGAAGCAAATTGCGCGTGGAATTCCTTCTTGTGAGAGAAGCAGAGCATTTTTTTGGCGGGCGCGACACCTGGAGTGTACGACCACTCTGGACGCCACACTTAGAAAAGACGCAAAATCACCATACACTTGTCGGCTTCTGCGAGAGCCAAGTCGGAGAATGCTTGAGTCAACCTGGCAAAGCGTGACATCTCAAATTGCACGTTTCTAAAACAGTCTAAAGGA